GGAGGACATTTGGAGCCCTTAAGAGATTAAACTCTGCTAAAAATATGTAAATAAAGTGTTAAAGAAATGTAAGTAAACAGTTTTGAACAAATATAATGGTAACAAATAAATATAAATGTAATAAAATCTTTTTAATAATGTCAAATCTATACCTAAATTTAAGCCAACTTTTAGCCCATCCTGGATATACTGCTGAAACATCTTAATAAAATTTTAATTAAAAATTTAATTACATTATTTTAATTAACATCTAAATAATCTATCTTATAAATTATATTTTTTATTAATCAGCAACTTTATTTACTTTGGATATACGCGATTTATTTTTCTCAATATAATTTTCTTTTAATCATTTTATTTACCGCCATGGTATCACATTTTATTTTAACATATTTTCTATGGACACATGTTATTGATTTGTTTGCGGAAATTTTATTTTTAAATATTATTAACTGTTCAAATTTATGCAAATTAACCACACCGTCTTTAGGTATTAGGTTGACCATGGTAACAATTACTTCCTTAGAGTTTGTCAGCTGTTTTGCGGGTGTTCGTTCAGAACGAAACAAGGAACTAAAAATAAATTAAGTATTCAACTAGTTTTCAGGAATTCCATATTGCATACATTGGATATTTTATTACAATTTCATAAAAAAAAATATCGTATCACATCACTGGAAATGTTCGTGAGTTCGATCCTCACTAGGTGCCCAATACTTTCGGCTTTGCGTCACATCTAAGTTAGCTTCGAAAATCACAAGTGAAAATATTCCATTGGTAATATAAAATATTCCATTGGTAATATATTGGTAATATTCCATTGGTAATATATTGGTAATATATTGGTAATATTCCATTGGTAATATAAAATGACCGTAACTTGACACTGGTGTTTGTCTTGGTGTTCCAGATTGAAATCTTGCATCGTTCAGTTGCCAGTCAGATGTTGTTAAATTGAATGTTAAATTTTGTCCACAAATGAATGACTTAAATATTGTAAATGAAAATTTGCACTTTCGGCATATTATGCTCCATGAAGTTCAGAAAGAACCAGGCGTCGTAATTGCAACAAAATACACACACACACACACACACACACACACACACACACATATATATATATATATTTTGAACAATAAGAAAATAAAAAAGTTTAAAAAATTAATAATATTAAAAAATTAAAATCTTTAGACACACTGGGTTGTAGATTAATATTCTTTCGTTTTTTTATTATTATTATTCCATTTAGATTACTCGACTAGTTTCGACCGAAATGGCCATCATCGGGAGGAGCAATATTTCTGCTTGCTGGTAGCACTAAACTACAGAAATATATATATATATATGTATGAAGAAAAATATACGGAAAAAACAAACAAAAATCCTAATATGCAATTTTGCTGTTTTAATGTTAATATAATGTCAACGTCGGACGTTTCGGTCTAATAGACATTATATTAACATTAAAGCAGTATAATTGCATATATATATTCAGAAGGTTTATTTGGATCCGGTAAAAAGTGGTTTGGCAGATTTCGTCATGGTGATTTTAATCTAAACGATCACCCACGTCACAGGCTACCTACCGACCTCAATGAAGTCGCTCTAGTTGCAATCGTGGAGAATAAACCGAAGCTTTTGTTGAAAATTGATACCTCATCTGCGTTTCGCAATTTCCGATCTAGACACGTGGGTGCCACATTCTCTGACAGAACAGAACAAGTTCGATCGTATTTATGCGACGAGTTATTTGCTGTTCCGCCCCGGAAAGGAGCCGTTCTTGGACGGAATTGTCACAGGCGATGGGAAATATATCGTTTATGAAAACTTTCGACGCAAAAGGAGCCGGAAACGTGCTTGGAAACGTGCATAACCCGTGGCTAAGGGCGGGCTTGCATTCAATGACGGTATTTCTGTCCGTTTGGTGGAATTGGAGAGGGATAATTCTCTTCGAGGTTCTTCATTGAGGTTATTAAAAAAAAAACGACCGACTGTGGCAAATGAAAAACGTGTCACATTCCACGATGACGATGCAAGGCCACATGCCGCAAAACAGACTTTGAAGAAGTCTAAAAGATTGAAATGAGAAATTCTCCAGCACCCAACGTGTTCTCCTGACTTGGCACGAATATTCATTTGTACCTTACAAGTTTCTTCCAGCAAAAAAAAAAAACCCAAAAACCCCAAACCCCCAAAAACAAAAAAAAACAACAACCCCTCACCAAAAAAACAAAAAACAAAACAAAAACAAAAAAACGCGAGGCTTCTACGCAAATGGCATCGACATGTTTATAGAAGGATGAGATGAATTCGTTAAAAACAACGGAGACTGGCTAATAAACATTTTCTTTCTGAATATTTAAAATGTTATTTTTAATTTTCTAATTGGGCACAAACCTTTGCAATAATCTAATAAATCCGCTTGCCTCTGCTTTAGCTAGCACGACCATTACACACTGCTGATACCCCATAAATACTGGAATATTCCATTTTGATTGCATGGAAAGACGGAAAAAAAACATATCAAAGACGCTAGTTGGTTTCAGCGAGAAAAAAAAAAGAACGATAGAAGTGCTTAAAGTTTCCTCCCAAGATCTCATGAATAATGGACTGTTCCGATTTGAGCGCTTGGAAAAACAAAATACATATCAGGAACGCTACTTGGTTTCACTGAGAAGAATGAATGAAGGAAGAAAAGAAAGAAAGATAGAAGTATTTAACGTCTGTTTCAATGAAATGGAAAAGGTTTTCAATTTCAAGTCTTGTCATTTGTACCCCCTTACTTCTTAAAATGACGACTATCATTCATACTTACGATTGTTATTGAAATGTTTTGTTAAAGTTTTAAGCTCAGATAGCAAACGATGCGATAGGGAAATTTCTACAGATACATTATTGTTGTAGACCTCACCATGAGCTTATTCAATCCTTAACTTAAGAATTAAGATTTATCAGAAAATTCAAATGAGGGAACTATTAAAATTTTCACGGGTTAACACTAATAATTTAATTCTTCTGCATATAGGACAGACCTGGTTCTATAACCTTGGATACCGCTGAAAGAAATGGCAACCCACTGCGGGAAAAACCTGCCTCGTTAGTCATGTATCGAAAGATACATGATCGCCTAAGCGTGTATCACGCATGACACATAACTGACTTACTCAGCTCAAAGATGAAATCAGTAATGGCGTGTATCGTAATGGCATTACTGAAATCGTTACATATTTCTAAATAATGCCGGAAGTTAGACTGCAAGTTGGGTTATGACTTCGAATTGATTTTCGAGACCTTACCATTTTCAAAAATAATGAAACATTATCTTAAATTCCTGACACGGTGTAGATAGGTTTACCTATCGCCCGGTTCACACTCCTCCCGAGTCTTTTGAACAGGAGTAGAGGGTTTATCCCTCTTTTCCTGTTAAAAATTAGGGTTCCAGTTCCTTCTAAAGTCTATTCAACTCTATACACCTAACGTATCCGCCTGAACTCTGAAATTTTATTCGCTAATTAAATCTTGACTTCTTCATGGATGTCAGTTATCTCCTGTTAATTCGCCTCTCCAAGTTCTCCACCGCCATAACCGGGTATTGAACTCACACTCTTTGGGCTCTGTCACTGGATCTAAACTAACGCCTTTATCCACCGTGCCATGTGTCCTTGAGAACATCCATTAAACATGGCACGTGCAACTAGAACAGTCTACTTCAGTGAGCGAAATAAAGGGTTCAGTTCGACATCCCAACCACCTGAAGAAATCCGTAGTGTACAACGGCCGAAACGTTGTAATAAATGTGGAGACAAAGATGAGGACAATAATCCGAATAATGTAAATAGTGAATTCAAGACAATCTCCTCAAAGATGAAGAAGAGACTTGAAGCAACAGAAACGTGGTTATACTAGAAGATGCTGAGGATACCATGAACCGAATATGGCAAGCCTTTTGGAAAGGTTTTACCGTAAACTTTGGCAAATTTTTACCGCAAGTTTTTGGCAAGTTTTACCGCAGCCTTTTGGCAAGTTTTAATGGCGAAAGTGTTTGGACTTTATTCTGTCATTTTTCTGAGTTAAAACAGAATCATAAAGGAGCAAATATTTTTCTCGTATATTTTGTTAATAAGATTGGGTAAATATGTTGAGAGAACTATTTATTTCAGGTTAATCACGAAGTTCATGTTGCTTACGTAGACATTAAAGCAAGACATCTTCATTTATGAACTAAAAAAATAAGGCAAGCCTCGTTGCTGAAGATTTGAGAAAAAATGAACTCATTCCATCACGCAAGACCATTTATAGATTCTTCTATTTTCTCGTATATAATTTCACAGAGTCTCGTAAATATTCTCCCCGGCTAATTCCTTCATATATTTGTCTTCAGGGTGCAGCTCTTTTGTCGAGCTGATTTGGATAAGATGACTTGGAGCAATCGATAGGCACACTGACTTTTTCATGTGGAGGTGTACTGAAAGATCTTGTTTACAGGCTCAAACCGAAAACAATTACTGAATTAAAACAAGCAATTTCTGATACATTTTCTGATATGAATAATAGAAATGTGTCAAATCGTATGTTGCTGCGAGGGTTCGGCGTTGTACTGAACCTGTATGGGGAACATTTTGGACATGTTAAATAGTTTGTTAATCGTAACAGACAATGTTTTGATGTGACATTACTTAGCAGTTTTCTTAAACTTCTGTATTCTATTTTCGTTTCAATAAAAGTTAATAAATAATAAAAAAAGGCGTCACTTTTGCCGCACATTTTATATCGTAGCTGATACAATGACCGATTTGATTTCAATCATTGATCGCAAGCAAGGCTTTACAAGTGGCTGTGAATTCAAAACAGAGAAAAACACTTTCACACGTATCTAACGTAAATCATTGCTATGAATAAAATAAGAATGAAATATGAATAAAATATGAATAAATATGAATAAAATAAGAATAATAAGAATATGAATAAAATATGAATAAATGTGAATAAAATAAGAATAATTAGAATAAAATATGAATAAATATGAATAAAATCAGTATAATAAAAAATATGAATAAATATGAATAATCTAATAAGAAGAATGAAATATGAATAAAATATGAATAAATATGAATAAAATAAGTATAATAAACTATGAATAAATATGAATAATAAGAATAAAATATGAATAATAAGAATAAAATATGAATAAATATGAATAAAATATGAATAATAAGAATAAAATATAAATAAATATGAATAAAATATAAATAAATATGAATAAAATAAGTATAATAAAAATATGAATAAATATGAATAATCTGATAATAAGAATGAAATATGAATAAAATGTGAATAAATATAAATAAAATAAGAATAAAATATGAATATGAATAAAAAATAAGAAAAATATGAATAAAATATGAATAAATATGAATAAAATAAGTATAATAAAAATATGAATAAATATGAATAATCTGATAATAAGAATGAAATATGAATAAAATATGAATAAATATGAATAAAATAAGAATAATAAGAATATGAATAAAATATGAATGAATGTGAATAAAATAAGAATATTTAGAATAAAATATGAATAAATATCAATAAAATAATAAAAAATAAGAATAAAATATGAATAAAATAAGTAATATATTTGTGAATCAATTTCTACAACGCGTCACCTCGCCTTCTAATTTATCTACATAAATGAGCCAGCCACTTGATAAATTTCTAAAGGCTCTTCTTATGGTGAAAATTCAACTGAACAATGAAAAAACGCTAATTTGAAAATCTTTCCATTTGTGGTCGAGATATCTGTTAAGGTTCACGAGCTCCAAATCGGCACGCATACCATTACGGTCCAAAAAAACGAACACCTAGGTCTCGACATCGTTACTGGGTGACGTAGGTTGTTGAATCCTCTAGATCGATAGCACCACTTGTAATACCAATGTGTGTCTTCAGCAGACAGCTTCTTCGGGGGTCCAAGTGCAGCTGGAAAGAAAGGCTCGTCAAGTGAAGAATACACATTGTGGAACAGTCGGTGCGGAACAACGTGAACACGTTGCACAGAAAAAATATACTTAGTTCAATTGTTTGCATCTCGAAAGAACAATATCCGTTATTTTTTCGAAACACGAAACATACAATCGTATTGATCGTTGATGATAAATTTAATCCCGAGTGTATCTCCATCCCGGTATCTCTGTCCGAATGACAACTGGTCCCTTAGCGCCAACTGATCTAACCTCGAACACTCTTGAATTGATTAAAAAAAAAATACACTTCTTTTGTCTTATAAAATTAATTATGCTTGCACTTCAAAAGTTTTCTGGCCTTCGGCCAATCCAGCTTTGTTCTCGCAAATTTGTTGGAAAAACAAAATGAAAATATTACAAAAATCTTTAAGTAAGTGCTTAAATATACTTTAACTTTTTCGTACTATTGTTATCATCATTAGTGTTATAGATGATATTTTAGACACAACGTTTCGACGTTTCTTTATCTTCTGGTCATCTTCAGACTTCTATTATTTTTGTCTGATATTCAGTATCTATCAGTTATTTCTATTTTGTCTATGTGATACCAATTCTTGTACGTTCCGACTGAACCATGGTATATTCTTTCACTACCTTATCTAGGATTTGAACTAAAGACCACTAAATAACAGGAAAGCGTGTTACATATAACCAACCCTTATATCCACTATAACATCGTCCCGAACGATATGAGGAGGGTATATTTGGAGCCTTTTTATTCAATGTCAGACGGTTTCGATATTAGCCGACATCTTGTCTTATATAATATATATATTATGAAATGGATAAAGTCCGACAATTATTTTAAGACATTTTTATGTTCATACATAAAAATATTTAAGTAAATGCTCTGTTTATAATAAACAGTATTAAGCAACATTTACCGGCCTGAATATCCGAGAAATTTCCATAGAAAACTTTCGTCCTCCGACAGGATTCGAACCTGTATCCTATACGGAACCGTCATTTAGCTTGACGTGCCTTTACCGATTTGGCCACAGAAGAGCGTCCGATATGCAAGGTCGAATTTACTGTATTTAAACTTCAATCTTCCATGAATCTCTCACGTTCATTCATATCTGCTCATGGCGTATCAAACGTAAACAAATGACGTCACACATTATGAAATGGACAAAGTCTGACAATTATTTCAAGACATTTTTATGTTTATTCATTCTTTTTATAGATACAGATATTTAAGTAAATGCGCTGTTTATAATAAACAGTATTACCCAACATTTACTGGCCTGAATAAAATAATTGTCGGACTTTGTCTATTTCATAATGTGTGACGTCATTTGTTTACATTTGATACACCATGAGCAGATATGAATGTACGTGAGAGATTCAGGGAAGATTGTAGTTTAAAGAAAAAGTAAAGTAACATTGCTAACCGAACGCTCCTCTGTGGCCGAATCGGTTAAAGGCACGTCAAGCTATAAAAAGAATGTATAAACATTATTTACATTATTCGGACGATTGTCCTCATGTTTGTCGCCATATTTATCACAACGTTTCGGCCGTTGTATGCTCCGGCCTTCTTCAGGTGGTTGGAATGTCAAACTGAACCCTTATTTCGCTCACTGGGGTAGACTGTTCTAGTTCCACGTGCCATATTTGATGGATGTCAGTTATCAGTTATCTCCTGCTAATTTCCCTCTGAAAGTTCTCCACTGCCTTAACCAGGTATTGAACTCACACTCTTTGGGTCCTGTCACTGGATCTAACCAACGCCTTTATCCACTGCATAGTGGATAAAGGCCGAAACGTTGTGATAAATATGCCAACAAAGATGAGGACAATAGTCCGAATAATGTAAATAATGTACATAATACCTCATCTCAGAAATATAGACAGACTTAGAATGCATAAACATAAAAATGTCTTAATATATATATATATATATATATATATATATATATATATATATCGTCATCCACATACAGACTGTTTCACTGTATCAGAACTCATCAGTA